GCTCTCCCATCCCAGATAAACTTGGCTCTAGAGAGAGATCCTAGCCTGAATGTGCGCCTAGGTAAACGCATGAGTGATGCAGCAGCACTGAGCCAGCAGTGTTCTTCTACCCCCAAAAGGAAAAAACATCTGGTGGCGTGGGTACTGGATCCATTCAACCCTTGGACTTGCAGCTGAAATAGCTGCTCTGTTTTGGACACCTTAGGTGAGCAGCAGGGCTCAGGCAGTGAGCTGACTTGCTTCCTGCCGCCAGTCAGGAATTTCAGTTGACATCTAGCCATAGCCCACTGTATGAAGTGTTTGAAACTCATACTTGATCTGTGGAATTCGTTTGGCCATGCCTCTGAAAACGCATGCAAATGTCAATTGATTTTGTCTTTTTGTATTGGTGGATAATAAGTTTTCTGTGTTAGCCCAGACAATCATTTAATTGAAACTAAATATTCAGCCAAGCTTCTAAAACCTGTGGGAGGCTCTTCCTGTTTTGCATAGAGAACATTTGGGGTTTTGGGGGTTGGTTTTTGCAGCTTGTCAGAAGGTGTCACTCATGCATGCTGTGAGGTTCTAGGTTTTCTGTGTGATGCAGGCGGAAAAAAACATATGACTAAAAAACTTTTTGGGATGCAACAGACAAATGTATTTCTGACATTTAAAGCAGTTCTGCCTTCAGTAACAAAAAAAGGGGTCTGGATTATTTTGTGAGTTGCAAAGAACAGCAGTCTGCATCTCTACTGTTGGACAATGCGATATGGACTGAAAACATTAGATTCAGATTCACCAACTGGAACATTTTGGATCTAGAAAGCCTCCTGGATATCCAGCAAGGGAGCTGTGCTGATTGCAAAAGACTAGGCTTATTTGTACTGTGAGACTAGGCTTATTTATACTGTGAAAGGAATAACCACTCCCATAACTATTGCAAATTTAAAGAAAAAAAATTCAACAAATGTTCTCATTTTGTGTTTAATGTGTGCAGTGGAGGGGCTTGGGAAACACAATTCATTTTATAGCGAATGGTGTTGGGTGGTGGTAAATTAGTTTTTTCCAAATTATCCTGAATGCGGTGTAACGTTCAGGAGTAATTTTACATTCACTTATGCTCCTGTGTATTGAAAAAGCCATAGGATAGTCTTTGGCAGGACTTTTCCAGCATGGCAGGACTTTTCCTAGGCTGAAGGAGTGCCAGGTGTGTGTGTTGGGGAAAGAAAGGATGGTTTTGTGGAAAGAGTGGGACTGAAGTGGGGGGCTCCAGCAAGTTAGTTTCAGGTTTTGGCTTTTTCTCTTATCTTGGGGGTACCTTGTGAGATCCCCTTTGTCTCTCTGGGCTGGAGTTGTCCATCTGCATAATGAGAGTAAAAACGCAAGCCCTACTTCCCTCTTTTTAATTGCTCAGTCCTGTCTGTACAATCTGCTTTGCAGAGCAAGGGCTTTCTCTGCTCCTGTAGCACGGACAGAGAGCCACCACGATCTCTGTTGAAAGTCTGTAGATGATTGCAATCAAGTCTGATGGTGAAAAGAAGTTGAGCTGAGAATGGAGGCAGCCATCGCTTGTCTGACGGATTCTGAAGCTGCCGAAGACGACAGTTTCTGCCAGCACACAGTGCTGCATCCATGTACAAGAGCTGTGTGTCTGTTAGTCAGAGGGTAGCCGTGCCTTCGGGCACGAAGCAGCTGAGTACTTTGGGCATCTCCCTTGTGCTTTCTTTCCTCAGGCAGTGCACTGAGGACACAATTTTGTGGATGCTGTTACTGTGGAATCCAGTTCTGCTGCCCAGCTTGGAGCTGTAGAGTTGACACCAGCTTTAGGAGAAGAAATAGAGGGGAAATGGAAATCGATCAATGGCCTTTGTGCTTAGCATGACCTTGAGGGCTCATGGGATAAATGACCCTGATTTTTCTCTTTGCTTTTCATTCCTGAAGTGCTAAAAGGGCTTTCTAGGGGGTGAAGTTCTGTGAACTGAGCCTTTGTAGGTCTTTAATGGGGTTGGGATGTGGGGGGAGCTCTGGAAAGAAGGGAACTTTTGAGCCTCTGGCCAAATGGCAAAAACACAGAGTGTGTCTGGTGCCTTCTGTGCTGCACAAAGACTCTTCATGTCCAGCTGCTGGCATGAATGGCCAGAGCTCTTCATCTGCCAGCTCCTCTTGGAGAGGAGGCATTGTCATCAGAGCCCTGACTGGGACCGGAATGTCACAGCCAGTTTCCTTCTAGTGCGTCCTGCGCGTACCCTAGATGCAGATGCTGCCAAACTTTGAAGGCTCTGCTCATAAGACAGCTGGAGTTGACATGGCAGGCCAGATCTGAGCCAGACTTGACACATGTGGCAGGAAAAGTTACCTATGTCTCACTAAATACACAGGAGTGCCACTCATCAGAGTTTCCCCTGTTGCGTATGGTTGGGTTCTGTTTCTGAGACCTTTTTGTCAGTGTAGAGTGACTATTCAAGATACCCGTTTGTCACTCTGCTTCTGGTTTTGTAGGTTACTAATGCATGGCCACGGTAACACTATGGATACTGTCAGGCTGTTTGCACTCTGGTGGGTTCTGCTGAACTAGTACTAATTTGAAATCACCTCGATGCCCCACCCAAGCCAGGCAAAGCATGCAGTTCCAGTTCAACCTGGAATTACTGATTCTGCATTGGCAAGGCCCTCTTAAGCAACTGGGATGGAGTAAACGGGAATAATGCCACCTGTCAGCATAGTGTTTTAGGAAGAGCCGTGTGGCATAGAGTGACTGTGGCTTGAACGTGGCCAAGAGTGTTGCAGTCATAATTCTAAGTCCTGTCTCTAGGGAAGGCAGGCCTGAAGGAGTGGCACGCAATTCCTGTGTTAGGACACTTCTGTTAATGTTTCCGTGGGCTACTGGAGGCTCAGCACAGAGAGGTCTCATTGCGCAGTCCCAGCCTGGCCTCATGTTGTCGCTGAACTGCTCTTGCTGTGAACTGATAAGCTTACTCTAGCGCATCTTATTGGACAGCCATCGTTTAATCTGCCTGTTCACATGACAGATCCCTCAGATGCCAAAAGTCACGACTACTAAACACCCAAAGATATGCAGAAATTGCAAAATCCATGGCAGCAGTTATGTAAAGGCAGCCAGACTTCTGGATGACATGAGGGCATCCCAGGGACGGTAGTGACCCTGGCTGCTGTGTCTCTCTGTGCTCCCTGCGCCCTTCACCAGTCATCGCGCAGTGCTACAGATATACAGCCCTGGCTTCACTGAACCTGATGTTCCTGCTCCTAGGCAGCACAGTGGGCCTTGCAGGAGAGGGAGCTCTTGCAAAGTCAGCAGAGTCCTCTCAGGTAAACTTTCAATAGCCATTGCATTGCATAGCTCAGCGTAGTCTTTAAGGGGAGGTGCTATGGAGGAAGTCCTGAGAACTACAAATCGTTTCCCTCCTTAGCTGAGGAGCGAGCTGAACCTGTCCCATGTGTGCAAGGCAGCCTGGACAGAAGCAGCTGAGTCTTCTCTGGCAGAGGAGAATTCAGCTGCCCTAGCGTTGCCCCAACTGCTTGTCTAGACTAGAGGAATTTGCACAAGGTATCTAAATACAACGGCACCACCGTAAACCCTGTGGAGACTGAGCATGACACCAGGAAACTTATCAAGTAACAAGCAGGCTGAAATGATGCTAGCAGGCTGAAATGATGCTAGCGCACAGTCTGTCCTGCGCATCCACGCCCAGGCTGTGTTCCTGCAGCTGTGCCAGCATCCCTTAAGACACGGAGCCTTATGCCAGCACTTGCATTTGAGGGCCAGATTTTAACCTCTCTCTGAAATCAAGAAGTAGGGTCCAGACTCCAAGGGAGGTGGTGCCTCCGGTCAAAGAGGAATGAAACAAAGGGAATTTCAAAGGGAATGAAACAATAGATGGTTTTGTGGAGCTGGGACTAGATACCCAGTACCATCCAGGAATCTAGTCGTTTACTGCTTTGTCTGTCTTATCATGAGGGGGGGTACTCTGCTGCAGAAAGATAGTAAAATGGGGGATAGTACTGCTACTGAGAGCCCCAGAGGCTCTACTTTTGGATCTAGCTCTTCCTTCTGTTTAACCTTGTGCACAGACCACTGTAGCCTTTCTAATTTCACCCTTTACAAAATAGTTCCTCTGTCTGACCTGATGTGCTGCCAGTACCACCTTGAGTCTCCTGCTTCTCACTGTCATGGTTGCTTTGGCAACAGATTGAGAGAGGCTGTGAGCAGCTCAGCATGGGCAAATTTCTCCCTTTTTTTTGCCAGATTTATAAATCTATCCCTGACCCAGCTCATTCATCAAGCAATGAGCTTCCATCCATGTCTCCCAGGCTCAGGGGGGCTGCTGCTAAGTGCATTTAAAATGCCATTAACCTGACTCTTGGAAAGGTTAGCGTGGCCTTCTGAGGAAGGAGGCTGGGCTTTACGGGAGCAAGGGGGCTGTTGGAGAAGGGTGATAAATGTCCCACCCATGTACCTTCTGGCTTGGAGGGGAACTGCAGGAGAAGAGAAAGCATTAACACGTTCTATACTGCTGATAGAGGGGGAAAAAAACAGGCTTGTGAATGCTAGGGAACATACTGATTTGGGTGACTTGTTTTTTTAAGCTGATGGTAAGACGATAGTAAGTGCTCCTATGTGTAGAAAAGTGTTCACTGTAAGCCGGAGTGAGGTCACAGCCTCATCAGGCCAAGAGGACAAGTGGTTTAGGAAGTGGTGGGGATGGCAAAGAATGAATTATTCACCTTCTCTGTGTGAGGTTGTCTCTGAGGCAGAGTGGCGTGGGAGCTTCAGAGGAGTAGAGTCAATTCTTGCCTCTTGGCTGAATAACCTTGGCCGAGGAGTTTCCCTACCTGTGAAAGTGTGGTTAGCATGAGCAGCATCTGAGTGAGTAGCATCTGTGTGGTGTAGTTTAGAGGCAGGTATTTTTCTGGATGCAGCTGGACTCTGAAGGCTGGTGTTACATTTCTCCTGGTTTCCGCTCTCTCATGCTTACGCTGTTGTGTTTGCCTGCCTTCCTCAGGAGAAACGATGAGGTGACACACATTAAGATCCAGAACACAGGGGATTACTATGACCTGTACGGAGGGGAGAAGTTTGCCACCCTTGCAGAGCTGGTGCAGTACTACACAGAGCAGCAGGGGCTGCTGAGGGAGAAGAACAGCAATGTCATCGAGCTGAAATACCCTCTGAACTGCCAGGACCCCACCTCAGAGAGGTAAGCTTACATGGCTCCAGCAGCCTCTCCTGATGGTTCCCACAGGGTGATGTTGTCTTCCGAGCTGCTGCTCAGAACCTGCTGCTGCACCCAGCCCGGGTTTGGAAAGGAGCCTGAAACAGAGTGTGTTCTTGTGTGATGTAGCTTTTGTAACCCAAAAGCTGCATGTCTCTGGGATGTTTTTCCGTAACCGCTCTGCACTCAGAGATGACCAGAAGCTGGCTAGGAAACATTAGTGAGGCCAAGCAGCTGGTATTTGCGCAGTGTCAGCATGCGCTGATAAGCTTGCTGTAGCTCCCAGGCAGCTTGGAACATAAGCAGCACGAGTCTGCATGCCAGCAAACAGTCCTGTATGAGTAGTCCCTTAGGTATACGGCTTTGGTTTTAAAAGAAACTAAACACATACAAGTGACTTTTGCCTGCCTGTGGAAGGCAGGAAAAAAAATCTCCGTCCCATCTCGGTGTATAACCACTGTTCATACTGGTGGTGACACCGTATTGTCTTATAGGGACAGAGATGTCTCTCTGACTCGCCTCTAGTTGCTTCAGGACGTTTCCCCCAGCCCATTAGTGACCTTCTTTTCCCTCCTTCGCTCGTGGCACACTAATGACACCTTCTTTCCCTTTCTTCCCCCTCGGTTTCCCCAGCGTCATATGCTGCGGCTGGCATGGTGGGTTGGAAGCAGAAATGGCAGGCGAGCGGCAGTGCCATGGAAGGACCCTAATTACTCTAACTTTAGCAGCCAGGATAAGTCAAAGCTGCAGTCTCGCTTCCTGAAATGGAACAGAGGCGCTCCCTTTCACGCTATCATGTGAGCCGGCGGGGCCAAGGGGCTGGGAAGTCCCTCCAGCTCATGCGCTCCCTTGTTGCCAGGAAGGTTTCTTTGCTCATTCTAGATTGCAGTGTGAAAAGTGGACAGGCAGCCGCTAACATCAGCAGAAGCTCTGGAAAAGTGGAAACCCCCGTCAGCTGGGTTTCCCCCTTTTCTCCCGCCAAGGAAAGTCTGGTTTGGCAAGTAAGCTCCCTAAAGATTTATTTTCCAGACCACACATCTAGCGGCATCAGGGAGAAGGGAGGGGAAAAAAAGGGTCCAAGTCCTCTAAAGATATGAAATGACGGTGGTGTCCGAATATAGCAGGATGCGTCAGAATAGCAGTGTTTCCAAGATCTGGGCCTGAAGAGCAGCTGTTTTGTTAGCAGGTTCTAAGGTGCCTCACCAGAGTTGGTCTGTCCTGCTCTCTGCAGCAGTAAAACTCACAGAGCTGTGATTCTAACACCTTCTCAAGCCTGCAGGAAGTGAGTTTGCTCTTCAGAGCAAGGAAGACCTTTAGAGGTCTTCTCGGTCAGGCTTGAAGCAGCTGCCTTTGCAACATGCTGGTCTGGGGATTTGAAAGGCCCAGCATCACTGACTGCTGTTCTGCAAACTTTTTCCTCTGTGACAAGGTTGCAGAGACATGATATGCTGCCATTATATCGTCTCTGGAATACTATTTCGAGCCTCTCCGAATTCCTGTCAGCTTGGCTGGCAAGCCAGGAACCAGCATCTTCAAACTGGGACCCTGTGGCATCTGCCCAGAGCATTGTTGAGTGTTGGAGTGTGGAGATTGAAAGCTCTGAGGCAAAAAAAAAAAAAAAAAACCAACAAAAAACCCCCCTGCTTCACTTCAGACTATTATTTATATCTATGGAAGGCTGTTGCAATGTGTTAGACCACTGTGCAGATAGAGGGGATGCATGCTGCTTTGGAGAGCTTCTGTGCAGTAAAGGCCAGGTGAACTGCCTACCTTGAGTACAGTGCTAGCACAGCAGTGCTGCAGTTTGAGCTACAGAGGGTATGCCCAAGAAGAGGCAGGTTATTGCGCGCTCAACGCTACAAGCTTATGACCAAGCCAGCTCACAGGTAGCTTGTGTTTTGCTGGGACTGCAGCGTAAGTATGTTAGCAGACGAAGAGAAAAGATGGAGAGATTAGATGGAAAACAGAGGCATGTGCATGCAGGATGTACACAGACCAAAAGGTGGAGTGACTTGCTCCCACACAGTGAGACCCTGGAAGAACAGAGCGCAAAGCTCTGCTCACCCTGCTCCCAGTTTGTGGTCCTGGACCATCACTCCTCTTCAATACCTTCCTGCTGCTGCCCACTGCCTTTGGGCCACAGGACCTCCAGGAACACAGGGCTGTCCCTGAGCAGAATGGTGGGCTTCCAAGTAGGAAGGCAGTGGGATCCGCTCTGCTCTCAGCCTTGCAGCTGGGTCAGCTCTAGGCGGTGGTGGGGGGAGGGCTTTACAGCGAAGGGCCCTTTGGGGTGACGCCTTTCTCAGCACAGCCTGCCTGGCTCTGTGCGAAGCGTGTTATAATCTCCATCTGCCAGACTTGCAGCTTATAGGCAGGACTGGAGTGGTGGGGAGGCACCCTGCATGCAGCAGAGAATCTGGTTTCGCAACTCAAAGTGAATAGACAGGGTTTTTCAGCTTTCAGTCAGCTAGCAGAAACAGAAGGAAGCCCCCTTGGTGCTTTCTGCGAGTCAGACCCTGAGCTGAGGGTAGTGACCTGGGAGGTGAACAGCACTAACTACAGCTAGGAGCAATCTTCTGGGGAAAACGGTTCCCAACCCATGTCAAAGCATCTTGTTCCTGGTCAGCATTGTCCCTGCTCTGCATATGATATTTTCTGGCCATGGCCTGCTGGCTCCAAGTATTCTTCTTTTCTTTAATATTTAAAAGAATAAAGGAAAACATAGCCACCTTCTAGTAAGATCTGCTAGAATTATGTCTTTAGAACTTCATCAGGACCATGTCCCTCGATGGACTGGCCACAGATCACACTGCAGTTTAATATACTGATGCTGTTTCACAAGTGGCTGGAGAATTGAGCGAAGTCTTGACACTTCCAGCCTCAGGCTGAAGTATTGATGTGATATCGCAAAGTGTTGGAGGAAAGTCACTAGGGATTGTTTCTAAAATAACCCAAGGTGTTGCGCTGGTGGGAAGCGCAGTCAGAATGGCAGCCTAGAAATGGGTTTCCCATGAACGCCGTGCCAAGTAGAAAGTGCAGCTTTTCTCTAAAGGTCGTGCTCTGTGCGTTTCTGAGCTGACCTTGCTCTCCATCTCTGCTCTCCAGGTGGTACCATGGGCATCTCACTGGCAAGGAGGCAGAGAAGCTCCTGACAGAGAAGGGGAAACCAGGTAGCTTTCTGGTGCGGGAGAGTCAGAGCAAACCAGGAGACTTTGTATTGTCTGTGTTGACAAATGAGGACAAGTTGGAGACTGGGGACCGGAAGCCACATGTGACCCATGTGATGATCCACTACCAGGTGGGAAACGTGCTGTCCCTGCTCTTTGGTGACATGAGCTAGGTGGGTGCCCCAGCTGGGAAATGCACATTTGATTCTCACTATGTTTCTGTCATTCTTTCCTGCAGCCAGATGGGAAGTATGATGTGGGGGGAGGAGAGAGGTTTGACACACTCACAGACCTGGTGGAGCACTACAAGAAAAACCCAATGGTGGAGAAATCTGGAGCTGTGGTTCACCTGAAGCAGGTAATAGCTGCTGTAGCACACAGCTGTGGGTTTTGGACTTTCCCACACTCCTGCAGGAGCCCACAGATCTGCCCCTGCTCTTTGGGAAATCCCTGCCCCCAGATTCTCTCATTGGCATTTGTTGGGCTTGTCCAACTTCACAATTGGAAGAAAAGTCCCTGGCCCTAAATTCAAGGGCTCAGGGATGGACGCAACTTCTGCCAACACCCCCGGGGATTCAAGAATTGTTTTTTTTTCAAAGGAAAAGTCCTCTTTTCATTATTGAAAGTGACTTCTGTCTTCATCTGTCTTTCAGCCGTTCAATGCCACACGCATTAATGCAGCCAATATTGAGAACAGAGTGAAGGAGCTGAACAAAATGGCAGATCACAGCGAGAAGGCCAAGCAAGGGTTCTGGGAAGAGTTTGAGGTACAGGATGCTGCTGTGCCCTGTCCCACTTCTGCCTATGAGAGATGCTCTTCATATCTTCATGGGAGTATCATGGTTTTCTGGCCTGTCAGCCTCCTCTCTACACTGTTCTTGCTTTCCTTATTTTTTCTGTTCAACTGAGTTATTTCCCACTCCTTTCTTTCATTGCTTTTTCTCCTGTCCGAGGCAGTTTCTCCTTCCTAATCCTAGTACTGTGTGCTTTTTATTCCCTACAGTAACCTATGCCTTCTGTCTCCCATTAATTTTCTCAGCAAGCTGCTTCCTAGCTTCTTTTATGCAGTCTTCTCTGCATTACAAAGCCAAGCAGTTAGCTGGAAAAGCCTCTGCCTTTGCCTCTGAGTTTCCTTGTCTGTCCAGAACCATTTGTTCAGATGTGCTCTGCTCCACAGATGCTCCAGCAGCAAGAGTGCAAGCTCCTCTACCCCAGGAAGGAGGGACAGCGGCCAGAGAACAAGGCAAAGAATCGCTACAAGAACATCCTTCCCTGTAAGGAGAAACTGCTTTTTTTGTTGTTGTTTTTGTTTTCCTCGCCTGCATTTCCTGCAGCTTCCTTGGGGCCTAGTTAACCCTGCAGAGCTTTCTGCTCTTAGCTGATTTGGAAGGATGTTGGCACTGTCCTGTTGGAGTGGTGCAGTTAATTCATGGCCTTTTCCATCCACTTTCTATCCTGGTCCTTCCCTTTTGCATAGGAAACCAGTAAATTGCTCTCCTCTTTGTGCTGTTAGTCCAGATATGCTTCAGAGCTCAGGCTTAGTTAAAAAATCATATGGAGCCAGAGCTAGAGCTTCCAAAAAAAAAAAAACACTCGAGAACTTAAGCTCAGGTTGGTCTGGGATACTATATATCACTATAATTTCCATCCAAGTTACCAGACTGGCAGCATAGCTGTGAGCCAGGCAGTTCTCCAGTGTTTAAGCACTGCTAAGTGTCATTGCGAGAGCGTTGCATTCCCTCTTTTGCGATAGTTACCCGTGTGATGGCACAATAAGAGCCTTGTGCTAGGAGCCACCACGGATGCCCTGCTATGCCCTCAGCAAACCCCGTTCATGCTTCTGTGTACAACTGTGCCCCGTGTTCATTGTGGACTCTGTTCTCATTCAGTTGATACCACGCGGGTGGCACTCCGAGACGTAGATGAGAGCGTGCCTGGGTCAGACTACATCAATGCCAACTATATCAAGGTACTTGGGAAGGGGAAGACGATGTCTGGGGACTGGGGGTTACCTTCAGCCCACTGCAGTGTTTCTGTGGGTGCATGCAGAGACGGTGCAAGTCTGAAGGGATCAGCCTGTCAGGAACCAATATGTTTCTTTGGGTCCAGACCAAATACAGTAGAAAAATCAAGTATCTCAAGGAACTTCATCATTGCACTATGTCCTGTTTGTCCTTGATCTAAGAGTTTATCTGTTCCCTCCTTTCTTTACCAGTTCAGGCAGTCCTAGTGGACTGACCCAGGCTCTCTGTTATTGACCATTAACTCTGAGGTCGAATTATAATTGTCATCTGTAAGCTAAGAGCAGCTTGAAGCTGAATTTCTAGCAATGCTGCTCCAATGTTTAAGTGCCTCCCTTTGGGAAACCTTCAGGGTCGCTTCATTCCAGCCATGTTGACACGCAACTTCTGCAGCTGCCTGCTGGCTGGAGTCTGCTCAGTAATGTATAGCACAGCTCATTATGAAGGTATCTGGAGGCAGGAAGATAATTTTGTCAGTGGCTCTGAAGCTGGTGATGAGAGTGGTTTCTGTCCACGGGTCTGATGCTTAGAAGAAAATAAGCTAGCTCAGAAATCCTGCAAGGCAAGGTGCACTAACTTTGCTGCTCAAAGCTGTGCTAAGGGAGTTCTCAATTCCTCTCTCTTGGATTGTTGGCTTTTTTTTTCTCTCGCTTCTGTTCCTCAGAGCATCCCTGAAGATGGCAGGAACTCGGAGCACTGCAAGATCTATATAGCCACCCAGGGCTGCCTGCAGACAACAGTGAATGACTTCTGGGCCATGGTGTATCAAGAGAACAGTCACGTCATTGTCATGACAACCAAGGAAGTGGAGCGGGGCAGGGTGAGCGCTTGTCAGGCACAGTCCCCGAGCCTGAACGTTACCTGTTTCTTGCACTGACCTCTTAGGCTGGATACCAGAACTAGTTCTGAAGTCAGGACTTCAAAACTGAAAGGCTGATGCAGCAACTGCTACATACACCAAACTGGGTAGTTACTAAAGGCTTATATTATTAAAACGTGAAACTGAATCAGTGATGAAATTAATCCTGGCTGGTCAACCGAAGTATATTATCCTGCCTGGACATTTGCATGTCCTTGCCCCTAGTGACAGAGGACCCAAGTGAAAATTCCCCTTTCAGGATGGACATTATTGCAAACCAGTGTCCTCTTCCACAAAGGAGCCACTTGGAGAGGACTGGAATGCTCGAGAAGTTTTTCTAGATTTAGAAGGCCTAACTTTGCTTTGCCCTTGACAAAGTACAACCCTTAGAGGAAGTTCCTAGCACAAATGATGTTTAGTTAAGCTGTCCTCTAGCTAGTTTTCATGTCACTTCTTCTCTGTCTTGCAATGTTGCTTTAGCTGTTCTTCATGAAAGAAACATGCTGTTCTCCCAGCCTCATAAATATTAATGGGGAGCCCCTCATCTGACTGACTTCAAGGCACTGGAGAATGGCAGGTAGCAGAAGAGAGTGAGGAAGCATCCTTCTTAGAGCCAAGCTGGCAAGCAGGGGAGGAGGCTGCAAACCGACTGCACAAAGGAGGAATATAATTACACAACCTGCATACATTTCAATACGAGTGGGTTGCGAGGGGCGAGGGAACACGGTGAAATACCAGCCAGAGCCCTTTACCAGAAGTGCCATCCCCGATGAGGAGAAGAGATCATTATGATCGGCACTAGCAGTTTTGTTTAGCAATGAGGGAAGTGGTTATGTTCTCAAACAGCCTGGTGCAAAGATGAGCTCAAGAACCTCGTCCAGACACACCGGCGTAGCTCTACTCACAGGCCTTCTTTTGTATTGTTAAAGCCACCATAGCCTCCGTGGACTGGAGGGCAAGAGGGATATTGGCAGACCGTGTAGACCCTCAGGATGGATATTTTGCTCAGGAGTTAAGGAATGACCAGACCAATGCCTACCTGAGGCTGGGGCTAGCAGGGGCAGGTGTTTTCTCTAAGGGTCACTTCCTTCATATTAGAATAGCCTGTTCCAGGACAGCCCCAGAGCAAAGGAAATGCTCTGTTTCCAGCCCTCCTTTAAATCTTTACTTTGGGGGCTAGGCAGCCCTCGAATGCCGCAGCTTCCTTGTCTCAACTAATGAGCAGCTCTACTGTGTCACTGCAGAACAAATGTTTCCGTTACTGGCCAGACAAGAGCAGCACCAAGGAGTACGGGTGCATCTGTGTGCGAAACGTGAGTGAGCGTGAGGCCCAGGGCTACTACCTTCGGGAGCTGGAGATCTTGCGGACAGACAGGGTGAGTACTCTGCTGCTGCTCTGTCCACCATACTGAGAAAGGACTGGTGCTGGGATCCCCAGGGGAGGGAGCTGTGGCTTCTATTTTTTTATTTAATGGTCTTATCGCTTAGGTTCTGGGTCGTTTTACACCAGCTTTGTTAACTAGAAAGGAAGGAGAAGCCTGCCGGTAGTAGGAGTGGTTTTCTGACCAAGCAATGGGCCTCTGCTTCCTGCAGGATGAGCGTCCCAGACTGGTGAAGCACTATCAGTATTTTAGCTGGCCAGACCATGGGGTGCCCAATGAACCAGGAGGGGTTTTGAGCTTTCTGGACCAAGTGAATCGGGCACAGCGAAGCATTCCAGACACAGGGCCGATCATAGTGCACTGCAGGTATGAACCAGCGGGCTGTCAGCAGGGGGATGGGGCAATGGGGTGGGTGATAAAAAAAAATGTGTGTCTCCTCCTTTTCCTTACATCTACAGCTGGGTCATCACACGATCTGATGACCCAGCTGATGTAGCTGAGAAACAAAGGTGGTATAAGTATGCATGTATGAAAAACGTAACCCTCCTCCAGAGCCTCGCTGGTGAGAAACCAGGGAAGAGCAGGCCTGATCTGAGGTTGCTGGCCGTGATCAAGCCCACTGGACTCTGATCTCCCAAGGGCTCTGCCTTTGGCTCCGTTCATCTTACAGCAGCCATTCCAAGCCTGCCTGGGATGGACCAGGCATGCAGCTGAGTGTGAGAGCTGAGCTGACCTGCTCTGAGGGAAGTCTCCTCCTGTAATGATTTTTTCCTCTTCTCTCTCCAGTGCTGGAATAGGACGCACAGGCACCATCATAGTGATAGATATTCTGGTGGATATTATTCATAGGCAAGGTATGGCTCCCTATTTCGTAGCTTTCACTCTTTGCCTTACTCTAAGTGATTATACACAACAGCAGTATGCTGTAACCTTGCTCTTGTGCACTGAATTAAAAAGCTCTAAGCAGTGGTTTTAGCAGGCATAGGCTTGGCCGAATGGGTGAGTGGGGAGCTGTTGTATTGTGCCCAGCCTACTTGGCTGTGGTCTGAGAACAGGAGCTCTTTCTCTCCATTAACGAAATACGAATCTCTCACCGAATGGGTGTGCGTGTGGATAGCCCTTTAGCAAGGGAGATGCTCCCTGTGACACAGCTGAGGAGGGTCTTCCTATTGGCATCAGTGGGGCCAGGATTTCAAGGTCTCCTTGAAAATCCTCTTTTATTTGGCTGGAGTGGGACAGGAAGGAACATATTCAGAAAGGGTGAAACCTCAGTAGCCATTTTGGAATTGATTTCCCTAAAATCTTCTGTACAGAAGGGCTGTGACCCTTACCTGATACGCCAGAGTTACCGCAGAACTCTCCGTGGTGGTTTATGGGGCTGGTCCAGGAGCCTGTAAGCACGTGGTCCCTCTTCTGCAGTGGTTGTATCCATTTTTTTCAAGCTGTCCAAGGGTGGTAAGGTCTGAATCTGTAGGAAGTAGGGTTAGAACAGACCTAGTTTCCATCCTGTGCCCCCACTCCAGGGAGGTCAGCGCTGTCTCAGCCATTCTTAGTCCAATATGCTCAGGGCAGGGGGGAGAGGCAAAGAGGTGCACCAAGTCCTTTATCACGATATTCCAGTGCTTCGCTGATATTGTGTTCAGTAAGATACTGAAAGGTCAAAGCTAACTTAACAAAAAGAGTTTTTCTCAGCCTCGTTCCTACTTCCAAAAATCTCACGTTCTCTCTCTTGAGCAGGTTTGGACTGCGACATCGACATCCCCAAAACTATCCAGATGGTACGCAGGCAGCGTTCGGGCATGGTGCAGACAGAGGCACAGTACAAGTTTGTTTACATGGCTGTTCAGCAGTACATTGAGGCTGAGCAGAAGCGACTGGAAGAAGAACAGGTGAGGCCTGTTCAGCTTGGCTGAAAAACCAGCAGCAGAACTTGACCTGCGCCAAACACCGCCACCCACTTCCCCTCCCGCTTTCTCATGAGAACTCAACAATTGCCCTGAACGCATGGAAGTAAATCCACACCTACTCCTCCCCAGCCGGCATATGGGATCCATTAGGGTTTTCTTCTGTATCTGCTTTGGGTGGCTTTTCATTGCCTTTGCTTTCTCTTTCAGAGGAATAAAAGGAAGGAGCGAGATTACTTGAATATTGGATGCTCTCCTATGGAAAAAGGCAGAGCCAAAGGGCAGCCGCCTTCACCAAGGGCCCAGTCTGTGTAAGCTGAACGCCTCTCTACCAGAGCGAAGAATTTCTGTGGCGGGAGAGAGAATAGCACGCGCTTAGTTGCAAGTTTTTACCTTTTTTCAGCCTGCCTCTCATCCCTGAAGCCTGAACACCTTCTGGTTGTCAGATGAGAATGGCTAAAAATAAACAGATGATCCCACCATGCTGTCAAAGGTGGTAACAGCCCATCTTGTTTGCGTGTTAGATTTTTGCAGCTGCTTTTGCAGGGGAGAGGAGGAAATAGATCCTCGCCTTCAGTGGCTAGTGCCCCTCTTCCTTTGCCTCGGGGAGCGTGTGAGCTGCTAGAAAGTGAAATCAGGTTTCCTCCACTGAAGGAGTTATGCAGCAAAATACAAAAGAAGAGACTAGAGGGAGCTTTATCGGCTTGTATCCCTTGTGGAAAGGGAGCATGTGCTAAACAGTATGAGTTTCTTACATAAGCAGGGCTAAAATACCCCAAATTCTACTTTTCCCTCTTGCCCCAAGTATTGGGATAGCAGTGAGTGACGGGGAGGGGGTTACAAGTTGAAGGTGAGTGGGTTGGGAACTTATGTCACTTATATAATATCCGAGCTTTTGGGCACCTTGAATTACGGTGGATTTGAAATAAGGAATGGCGAAGCGAGGCAGGAGCAGAGGAGCGGGCGGTTAAGTGGAGACAGCAGCGCTGTCTCTGGGCTCACGCAGGGGCTCAGAGTGGAAAATCCAA